ACGGAGCCGACGGCGCGGCGACGGACCGTGCGGTGGTGACCTCGAAATCCCCAGGGCTCTCACCGCCAGGTCTGCCACCACACGGCTTGGGGACCTCGGGGGCCCCAGGCTCACGAGACATCCTCGGGGAACGGCCCGAGTGCCCAGAACCGTGCGGCCACCCCGAATCCGCACCGGCTCGCCGCACGGTGTGGCCACCGCACCGTCTGGGGGGCCCCGAGCCGAACTCAGGGGAAGCCCACCCGAGGGCTGAGCGCTCAGGGCCTGAGCAGCGGGGCAGGCCGTGGGGGCCGCCCCCCTCCCCCTCCCCCTCCCCCTTCCCCTCCCCCTCCTCCCTCCTCCTCCTCCTCCTCCTCCTCCTCCTCCTCCTCCTCCTCCTCCTCCTCCTCCTCCTCCACTGGAGGCATCAATAACTGGGGGAAGGCTGATTCAGGCACGCCCGAGCCGCAAGGCAACGTCGGAGCATGCTTAAAGTTGCCTCTGTCGGAGCTTGACCTGTGCCCTCGGTGCGAGCGCGCGAGGGCGGTGCAACCCCCCAGCGTGAAGGAGGGGCGATTCTTCCAGGCTCCGACTGAGCTTAAGTCGGGCCTGTCCCCTACAGGGGGATTTTCGACGAAAAATAACAAATCTCCAACATGGTCAAAACATACTTACAACAATAGTCCTCATAGCATTTTTGTACGATTTTTGAATTTACCCCTGTAGAGCGACAGGCCCGACTTAAGACTGAGCCCCTGAGCGGCTCGGGATCTGGACGGCCTCCGCTCTGGCTGCGGCGGCGGAGCGCCTCAAGGCGACAACTCACCTCGCCTCTCGCTCCTCCACCTCCTCTCCGCTCTCCCCTCTCTCCCCCAGTCCCCAGGCTCCTCCTCCTCCTCTTCTCGTCACCGTTGAAGGGGCCCTGGGACACACAAATAAATACACACACATAAAAATATTCTCCATATTTTATATATTTTCCGGGTTTTTGTCTTCCCTCCCACTTCCCATATTTTCCCATATTTTCCTGGGAGTGGACAATTCATTGTGTCTGTGTGTTTTTCCCCTCCTGAACCATCACCACCACCACCGTCATCATATGCGCGCTCTTGGCCTCCCCCTCGCCCTCGTCCTCCTTCTCCTCCTCCTCCTTCTCCTCCTCCTCCTCCTCCTCATCATCATCATCATTATCATCATCATCCTCGCTCTCCTGGGGGGACAATCCGCCCCCCGTGCCGCGAGGCACGAGCTGGAGTGTTCTCAGGCCCATTGGATGGTCCTCTGTCCTGAGGCTCGTTGAGGGGTCCGGACCTCTAATTCTCAAATTTTCCAGGGCGTGGAGCGTGGCTCCCAGGCCTTCCCGCGGTATGTCGCGTGACTTTTTCGGACCTTGGAAAGGAAGAGGACCCCCCAATGCCCCCAAGATGCTCAACGAGAGCCTCGAATCGCCGAAACTTCGCTCCAAGATGCCCAAGATGGTCTCCAGACAGCCCATGGTGCGCCAAAGACGCCCCGACAGAGCCCCAAGAACACGTCCAAGAGGGCCCCGATCGCACTAATGCTTCTCAGGTTTTTTGACGGATTTCAGCGTTCTCGCTTTTTTGGCCTTCCGATGCTCCGTGCCGGCTCCATAGGCCCCAAGATGGCCCCAAGATGGCCCAAGAGGCCCCCATAGGAATTCCAAGATGGCTCAAGAGGGCACCAAGACGCCCCAAGTGGCTTCCAAGGCGGCCCAAAGACGGCACAAAAAACGCCCCAAGAGGGAGCCCCAAGAGGGACCGAAAAGAGGGAACACGAATTGCCATTTCGAGCCCTCCACCCCAAGAGGACAGCCGAGACCGCCAGCAGGCGCCCTAGAGGCTTCCAAGAGGCCCCATGAAGCCCCCAAGAGGCCCCAGGAGGCTCCAAGACGGCCCCTCAGGAGACTCAACACTGCTTCCAGCAGGCTTCCGAGAGGCATCCCAAGGGCTCCCAAAAGGCATCCAGGAGGACCCTGGCCCAGAACCCAGTCACGGTGGTGGGTTGGGCCGAATGCCAATAGATCCGTCACCCCCTGTAGGCTTGCCATAAGTGTAGAGGCCTCCTAGATGTGGTCGGAGTAGATGTGGTCGGAAGATCGCGCCGCATCGCCGATACATCGGCGAGGCATCGGCGATGTATCGGCGATGCATCGGCGATACACTGGCGATGCATCGCCTACGTGGGCGGTGCATCGGCGACGTCGACGTGAAGCAGATCGGGCTCCACATCGAGCCGCATCGCCGATGCATCGCCGATGCGGCGCAATCCACCGACCCCACCTACTCGGACCCCCTCTGGGAGGCGTAGAGAATATGCACAGCGTGCCAAACGTGAGGCTGTTTTTGCATCGCTCTTACCAAATTCCCCAAAACGCCTTCGGCCGCATGCTCCGGCCACCCGGAAGGCTGCACCCAGGCAAGGAGGGACCGGAAATCGCCCCCAAGAAGGCCAGAACCTACCTGCCCCGATACGCAACACGCGAAACGTAGCGTATTGATGCGGAGCTCAACACGTGTACTGAAAACGTGGGTCCGACGCGATACGTTCGCCAAAACGTGGGCCAACACGACGAGCCAACACGCAACGTATTGACACGGACGTCCTGAACACGGGACGTGTTGCGTTTCAAACCGGGCGTATCGAGGCAACTGAGGGCCAGAATGGCCCCCAGGATGGCCTCCAGGACGGCCAATGTGGCCTCAGGACCTCCAGGAGGCTACATCATTGATGTCCCTTTGGATTTTCAATGATTCAGGCATTCTCTCCTTTTCGGGCTACCAACGCTCAAAGACGGCCGCATAGGCCCCCAAGATCGCCCCAAGAGCCCCCCCAGCGGCCGGCAAGACAGCCCAAGAGGGCGCCGAAGAGGCCCCCAAGGCAGCCCCCAAAGGCCTCATAGACCTCCAAGACGGCCCTAGAGGCCACGGAAGCCTCCAAGGGGCCCTCCTGGGACCGACGAAACCCTCAGAGGCCCCCAAGAGGCTCCCAGGCAGCTCCCAGGAAGCCCCAAGAGGGCCTCGAGAGGCCTCCACTTATTGTTCTTCCTCTCCTTCCTACTATTGTTATCATTCGTAGTAGTTATTGGTATTCGTATTATCAAAGTTGTTGATTTTAGTAGTCGGATTACGTAGCACCCAGCAGATGCGGGTGAGAGTGAGGGGGCGAAGGAGACGTCGGCAGTTCGCGAGACTCTGGCGAAGCCCGCCGCAGGCGCCAAAATTTCACAAATTATACAACGAGCCCGCCGCAGGCGCCGTTTTTTCATTCAACCAATGTGGGTAGGTCGCGGGTGGGTCGCAAATGGGTCGCGGGTGGGTCGCTGTTGGGTCGCGGGTGTAGAGGGCAGAAAATCCTCCCCATAACAATCACGCCGACAAGAGAAGCCGTTTAGTAAACGCACACAAGGAATGAATCGAACAGGGCAGGGCTGTTTAGTCAACGGCCAAGGCCGTTTAGTAAACGTCAATTGTCGGGTCCAGGTGGGTCGCGGGTGGGTCGCGGGGTGGGTCGCGGATGGGTCGTGGATGGGTCGCGGATGGGTCGTGGGGTGGTTCGTGGGTGGGTCGCGGGGTGAGTCGCGGGGTGGGTCGCGGGTGGGTCGCGGGGTGGGTCGCGGGGTGGGCCGCGGGATAGGTCGCGGGTTCTGTCGCAAGTGGGTCGTGGGGTGGGTCGCGGGGTGAGTCGCGGGGTGGGTCGCGGGATGGGTCGCGGGTGGGTCGCGGGTGGGACGACGACAACAAATAACAACAACAGCAACAACAACAACAACAACACCAACAGCACCAACAACAACCACAACAACAACAACAACAACAACAACAATCACTTTACCCGAACGCTCAGTGTTCTCACCAGTGCCAGGGTTTTCATGCGACGCCAGCCAATACCCCCACTTTGTGGGGGGGCAGTGCAAGCTCTACCAAATATCCACACGACTCTTCGCCACCACCCACACCCAGCTTCCCGCCCTATGACGTTCGGACACTTCACTTCGTGGCCTGCGGACGACCGTGGCTACTACACTGGCGTGGAGTACACACCCACAGAAGTTGTTAAGCCTACGTTCGTACACCCACAGAAGTTGTTAAGAAAACCCAAAGTTGAAGTCGAGGACGTACGGTGCGATTCGTGTGATTTTATGATGCGCGGTGCTAAAATTCTTAAGAAGCCCAATGGTTTTTGGAGATTTCGGCGTGCGCGCGCGAAGAAAAAACGAATGTGTCCCGCATGGTATTATTTGACAGGGATGATGGCCCTGGCAGGTGCGCAACCGTTGTCGCAGAAGTTCGAAAAAGTTGCTCGCAAAAGCCCGTTTGACAGAAATGTTTAAAAAGTGTTGGGTTTCCTACGAATCCGCAAGAGCGCGCGGGATGAGATTTTGACATTTTTTTGTTGAAAAACCATTGGTTTTTTGATGTTTTTATGTTAAAATCGCTCCGAACACTAAGCTTTTGGAAGGATTTCGTCTTGCGCGCGCGAATGTCCACTTTACCTTATTTTTTGCAAGGGATTCTTGAAATTTGATTATATTAGAACAAGAAATGTCATTTTATAATGTTTTTTGCAAGGGAAAACGGATTACAACAAAACAACCGGATCTTGATCACCTCGAATTACCTGAGGCTTCCTCACGAAAATGATGAAAACGTGGCTGCGGCCTAGGCGCGGCGGGGGGGGGCGCGCACCAGGGGGCCCAACAATAATTATTCTTTAGAATTAATAATGTTCAACAACAACAACAACGCAACACACACAGAATTCTCACCACGATTTCCTTACTCAGCCGCGCACCCAGGGACAATGAATGACCGTTTGGCCCTCTCACTCTGACAATTCGCATGCTTATTGATATTACTACTATTAGTGATACAATGCTTGTTTAGTTTTACGCTTGGTATTTGTATTCGTAGCAATAGTGCCACTATTATCGCTGTTCCATTGCGATCAGTTTTTCTTATGTTAATCCTGTCTGAATTATTCGTATTTCTATGATTATAAAGGTTGTTATTCTCCATATGTGTATGTTTCCTCGTCCTGCTCCTCTCATCTTCCTCGTCCTCCTTCTCTTCCCTCTCCTCCTCCTGTCTCTTCCTCTCTCAAGGTTTCCCCCCAAAGGATTCCACACTGGCCGGGGGAACCCATAGTCTAATAGCTTCGCCAGAAGTCGGCGAAACGTTTGGCCGCATGAGCGTGTCCAAAGACAGAGGACGACGGTGATTCTCCGTAAGCTATTCGATCTGCCGCTGGCCACCCATACAGCTACGTAAAAACGTCTCCGCCTTCCCCGACAAGGCCCATAAACTTCCAAGGACGTCGGTCTTCCCGCTGCAGACGGCCCCAAGGTGGCCCACAAGACGGCAAAGATGGTCTCCAAGAGGGCTCCGATGGCCCCAAGAGAGTCCACGATGGTCACAGAGCGTCTCCAAGACGGGCCGAGATATCCCCAAGATGACCCAAGATGGCCTCTATATCGCCCAAGACGGCCCAAGAGGCCTCCAAGACGGCCCAAGAGGTCTCAAAGAGGACAGCCAGGCAGTCCCCAAGATACCAACGGTTCTGATTGTCCTCAGGTGCCTGAACGTTTGTGGCGTTTGCTCGTCGATGGGTTTCCGACGGCCCAAGACGGCCCTAGAGGCCACCAATATGGCCCCAAGAGCACCCAAGAGGTCTCCGAGACGGCCACCTGACGGCCCCCAAGACGTCCCCAAGACGGCTCGGGAGACCTCCACGACACTCCAGATGGCCTCCAAGACGGCCATGCAGCGTCCCAACAGGGCCCCAAGTCGGCCCAGAGAGGCCCCCAAGAGGGCTTCCGACTGCGTCAAACGGGCCAGGGACGCCCCCAGACGGCCAAAGAGCAGCCCAAGGCGCCTCCAAAGGCCCCCAAGAGGCCTCCAAGAGGCTCCCAAGAAGCCCCCAGAAGGCCTCAAGAGTGCCTCAAGAGGGTCCCAAGAGGCCTCATCCCCCTCCTTCTCCTCGCGCCCCTCACTTTCATCCTGTTCTTCGTTCTCCCCCGCGTGTTCCCGAAGGGGTTCAACGACGGCTCGGGGAACGCGCAGTCCAATAGCTTGGCCTGACTCTGGACACACCGTTCGGCCACATAGGCGCGTTCAAAAGGCAAGGGCCATCAGTGATTCACCGTAGGCGTCTTCGATATGACGAATCAACTTGTGGGCCTCTTGTTGTACCTGTATGGTGGCCTCCATGCGAGCAGTAATGCTCATACTACCTAGTTTCTCCTGCTTCTCCTCCTCCTCCTCCTCCGAACTTGTCCTGGTTCTGGCGGCGGGCTGGTGGGCGCCACCCATGCCAACACGCAGATCTGATGCTGTGGCGGCACCCAAGCCAGACTCACTGCATGTATGACACCAGCCCTTTAGGGCGTGAGTAGTCTAACGAGCCGTTTTGCTAATCCACGTAATCCCATTCGGGGGGTCTCTCTCCCCCTCCCCCCTCACCCTGGCCCTAGACCCCTTTCCCCGCAGGGTGTCAGAGGGTCCTTTTTGGCTTCAGATGGCCCCAAGAGGGCCCCAGAGGGCCTGAGATACCCAATATGGTTCACGATAGGCTATTACACGCCTTCAGGGGCCCTCCAGATCGTCCCAAGACGGCCCCAAGCGCATTCGAGCCCCCTGAGGAGGCCTCGATGCTTAAACCATTCAAGAGTCCTGTGTGTGCGCGCGTGTGTGTGTGTGTGTGTGTGTTTCAATGTGTGCGTGCCTTGTCGCCGTTTCGAATATGATGGGCCCTTGTGGCCTCAAGATGGCTCCCAGATGGCCCAACGGGACCCCAAAAGGGGTCCAGGATGGCCCCAACACGGCCTCAAGAGCACCCAAAGAACACCCCAGGAGGCCCCCGAGAGGTCAATGTACGGGACCAGGACCAGGGGGGGGGGGCACTTGAGTCTCATCTCTTATTTGATTGTTGGCTTTCAAGATGGCCCCATGAGGGCCCCCAGGGCCTCCAGGAGGACACCAAGAAAGCCCCAAGTGATCCCCAAGAAGAGGGCCCTGGGAGATTCCCAAGGGAGCCCCAGAGGCCTCCACGATGGCCTCAAGAGGCATCCAAGACACTCATCCTCCCCCTTCTCCTCCTCCTCCTCCTCCTCCTCCTCCTCCTCCTCCTCCTCACTCCTCCTCCTCCTCCTCCTCCTCCTCCTCCTCCTCCTCCTCCTCCTCCTCCTCCTCCTCCCCCTTCCTCCTCCAGGGCGACGCACGTACGGAGAGCAACAGCGAGCAGCCACTCTACCAGGTCGGCCCAGGGCACGCACCGGGCAACACAAGGCCCCACGGGCGACGCAACGGGGAGCCGCGAGGCGCACACGCCACGACGCGGACGTGGTCCACCGCAGGGCTGCCTGCTGCTACACGTAGGTCGGGCAGGTCCTCCTACTTTACCAGCAACGAACGTATCCCTATCCCTAAGATTGACACGCCACAAGGCGATGACAATCTTAGGGAGTCGCCCTCAAAAAAGAAGGGAATCCCTAAGATTGGCATCGTGATGAGGAGGTGCCCAGCATAGGGATAGGGACATGTTCCAGGCTGGTACACGTAGGCCGGGCAGGTCCTCCTGCAGGCGGATTTGGGAGGGCAACTGCTACATAAGCAAAACATCCACCACAATCAGACTCAATAATGGTCTGGAAATCGTTCCCAGACGATTCCTTCACTACGTTTTGCATCTTCCTCCTGTAGAGGGGCGTGCCCCACTTGATGCTACACATTCCTGATGATGGCAACCCGCCTGGTGTCTGTTCTCGGATAGGCTGGTGGGGATACGCGAAACGGCAACGAGTGGCAACACACACATGGACAACGTGCAAACGAAGCGTCCCAGACACATGACATTCGCCAGCAAGCCAGAAGCACCACATTGAACAACGGTCGTACATTTTCAAGGGGCTGGCGGAAGGCATCGTTGTGACGCGCAACTGCCAACATGCTCGCCTCGGACGCGTTGGGTCTGCTGCCAATGCTCCTACATCATCGAGTCGAATCTGGCATCAGAGCCCCCCGCGCGTCTGCCGCTCGCTACACGCTGGCTAGAAGCACGCCCGGCGCCAGATGAGAAAGAGAAGGTAAGGGCACATGAGAAGAATACCAGCCAAGCCGTTACAGCGTGTCAGGGCCTGATGCGTTGAATCAAAGCTGCGGGCGATACGTTACCACATGCATGCGCATTTCGATCGTAACGGGTACGGTGCAAATTCGCACTGCACGGTAAAGAAGAACTCTATGGTGTCGGTGCGCGGCGCATATGATCCGGATTCCATGTGCGCTTCGCTGCACCTGTCGTGTAACACATGTCGAACTATCGTAGCATCTCTTGCGCCAAAAAATTGACCACCGTGTTTACAAACGCCTAGATTTGCAAAACCAGAACTTTGCCGCCCATGTGGAGACTGTGTTGTCCATTCGGGCACATGCATGTTCTATGCAAGCTGGCTTCCCTCCCCTCTTTTTTGTAATGCCTTATTCCTCCCGCCCGCCTCCCCTGTCCAATGAAAACGTTTGGCGATGCAAATTTAACTCACGGGCGAGTCAACCGGGGTGTTAGTCAGAAGATTGTGCAGTCTTCTGCGCAGGTGCACAGACGGCTGTACGGGGATAGTGTCGTTCAGTCGCGGCGCACGGTGATACTGATCGCTCATATTTCGAATGTACGTTTAAGCGCTCCGTCTAGAAAAGAGTCAGCACCCGATGGAAAGCTATAGCTAAATATGAGTTTGGACGCGCAACATGCTTGCTATTGAACTGGTGTTGCAAGGTGTTCGTTGCCGTGGTGGGGTGAATTTCAAATGGCCTGGACAACGTTTGGGTATGGCGGGAAGCCGTGCCTTGAACACGTATTGAATACCCTGAATGCTGAGGGAGATGCACAAATTCCCGAATACTATAGGGGAGCAATCCACCGTGCAGATCTTGAAATCGGCAGCTCCACTGCTCGCACAATCATCACGCCTTCCCACCAGCAATTGGTTTTGCACAACCCATGCGGCCGCGATTGCTGTGACTCCTTCATCTTGTCTGGCACATCTCTGCGGCCGCGCTGGCCCGCGCAAGCAGCGCGAAAAAGCGGCACAACCAATGCGGCCGCGACGAAGCTCACCATAGGCAACCTCTCAGAGCGTCTCAACGGCCTCACTGGCGCGCGGGCACTTCAGTGCGGGTCAGTGGCTCAGGCGGGCACGGTGTCATGATAATGTCGCCATTGGCGGCGCCGATGATGATGGTATCGATGATGGCGGCGATGATGACGACGACGACTGCAAGGCCGATGAAGGCACGGGTGCTGGTGACGACGGTGGCAATGATGATGTCCATGTGTCGGTGATGAAGGTCCTTGAATGGTTGACGATGACAATGGCTTGATTTCCATGTGGCGGCAATGGCGGCGATTGACGATGACGAAGACATGATGCGGCGGCGCTGATGCGGGCGGTGGCGAGGAAGTGCGCGCGCTGGGAAATCCAAGAACCTTGGCAAACTTGGGGTGGACAGGCATTTGTTTTTTCATGCGTTGTTGACCAGATCTATTTTGAAATGCTTCGGAAACCACGGGTGTTGGAAGGATTTCCACACGCGCGCGTGGCGGCGCGCGTGTGGCCCGAACGGTATTATTCGATACGGATTCGTGCATTAGGCGCCTGCTTGAGTAACGCGGATGCACTGCGTTATGACATGACAATGAAGATTCTAGGCGACATGGCTAACATGATAGGGTCGTCTCGTCGTATGCCTCCAGGAATGACCATGGTCAGGTCATCTGCAATGCTTGTTATGAAAACTAAGCGGGTTGTTGGCTTTATATGTTGGCATGCCTGCACAACTTGAGTTTGTGGTATGCTTTAGACATGTACGCGCGCATGTGGAACTGTGCCATGTGTTGCAAGTGATTGTTAGGGGAAAACATATCTTGCAATATCCTGCGCGCGCAAAATTTGATTTGACGGTGCTGAGAGGGGCGATAACGGCCTGCGTGGGGTGGCATGGGCTCAGATGGTAAATGAACGATGAAGCAATCTCAATCGAAATCGTCCGCGTCCCATAAGTCCGGGGCCCAGCGGTGGTGGTCGAATACATGTTTTCTTTTCTCGAGGGGAGAACCCACGCTGCAGAAGTTGAAGTCGTCAATTCCGCTGCTTGCTCAATCATCCCGCCCTCCCACCCGCAACTCGTTTTGCGAAATGCATGCGGCCGCGATTGTTGTGAGTACTTGGCACTGGCTGGCGCATCCTTGCGGCTGCGCTAGCGAGCGCAAGCTCGCGCGAAGAACGGGCAAGTTGTTGTTCACCACCGCCGCGGCCGCGATGGCGCATGCCGATGGGGACTTCCCAACGCATCTCAAAAACCGCGATGGCGCGAGGGCCCGTCAATGCAAGTGGGTAGCCCGGGCGGGCGCCGTATCATGGTGACGCCGACAACGGCGGCAACGATGATGAGGCCATGATGGCGACGGCGACGGACATGCCAAGGACGGCGGCGATGTCGGAAACGACAACGCCGATGATGATGTCCATGCGTCGGTGATTAAGGGGAGTGGCCGATGATGGCAAGAAGCTTCCTGGAGACTTCCCTGAAGCACCAACGGAACGGTTGCGGGATGGTGCGCGAACAAGCAAATATATGGGTCATACGCCACGTTTCGTGTGATACGGTTTTTGCTCTGGGGAATCATCGCATATTGTTGTTGTAAGCGGTTTCGCGGAGGACGGCCAAGCCATTCCATCTAACAATTGGGCTATCTAGCCAACATGTTCTCTCTCGCTCTCTCTCTGTGTCTTTCTCTCCCTTTCCAGGGATACATGATACAGATCCCTTCGCTGATCTCAGGTCAGCATGCCTATCTACAATATGTTTGCATACATACACGCCCACCTATTATCCACCATGTGCCGTTGTTCTACGGCATCCAACTATCTACCAACCAAATCAACCTTGTGCCTGGCTCTATGGAGCTGGACTTGCATCGAAACGTTCCTCACGGGACAATCACAGGACAGCCCTTGGATCAACCAAGGGGCAATCACGAGACAATGCATGGGACAACCGCTGGCCAGCCCCCGAACCAGCCCATGGGACAACAGCGGGACAACCCACGGAGCAACCCAAGGGACCACCACGGGCCAACCCACGGGCCAACCACGGGACACGCGCGGGACGACCCCGCGCGCCCCCGCCAGGCACACGGCAGAAGACTGCTGCCCCACTTGGGACCAACTACGCCAACTGGCGTCGCCCTCGCGAAACGTCGCCTCGCGCGCACGCGCGGCACGAACCGACACCAAAACTGAGACCATTTGATTTACCCCCCCACTAGCCTCCGATAGCCCCTGGCAGCGCACCTGCAGCCCCAGGCTTCCTCTCAGAATCGGTCACCCAGTTCGAAAACAAGCACGCGCAACCGCACACGCACACAGAAACACGCACACACAGGCATGCACGCACAGACTTGACCTACGACGCTCTAGTGCGGTCCAGCCAGCGGTGACAACACACAGACACACGCATACGCACGCACACACTTACACACATAATCACACACACGAAAACATGCGCACACACATACACACGCACTTACATACACTCTCCACCCCAACACCCACCCATCCATCCAGACACACTGGCACACAGACACACAAGTACACACAACCGCACAATTAAATACACATACGCGCGTTCACAATTAGCATCATGCACATATAGCGCTCACACACAACACACCCACAACGCCGCCTCACACAACGCAGCCCACCCACAGCAAACATACACACACATGTGGACCGCAGGCGACCAGGGGATATATCCATACGGGCTTCCAGAGGCACGCGCACACGCACGCAACAAACACACACACACACACGCAAACACGCGCACATACCCAACACACTATACACACCACTCCACGGCCACGAGGCCAGCTGCCAAACTTGCCCCCCCCCCCCCCCCCTCCTAGACGTCGTACGCACGCCCCCACACGGTGCCTGCACTCAGGGGGCTCCCACTGGGAGCGTCTGCACAGCTCGGCTGGTCCGCCGAGGCCTCCCCGAGGCCCTCGCCTCGTGGGCGCCTCGCGGGCACCTCGCGGGCGCCTCCTGCCCCGAGCGGGCCCGCCGCAGACTCGCCTCGCGGGCGCCGCCCCCGTGGGCGCCTCGCGGGCGCCGCCCTGGGCGCCGCCGCGCTGTTCGCCTCGCGGGGCGCCTTGCGGGGCGCCCCGCGGGCGGCTTTCGTGCGCTGGGCCCGCCGAGGCCTCGCCGCGCTCTCCCGCCCGGTGGGCGCCTGCGTGGGCGCCCTCGCGCCCTTCGGCTGCGCGGCGCGGCTTGCGCAGCAGAGCTCACACGGTACAGCCTGCATCGCACATAATGGACAGCAAAGCTCACGCGACGGCTCACGACGCAGCTCACGCCTCGCAGCCCGCACCGCACAACTTATGCCCTGCACGACTTGCGCAGGACGGCTTACGCGTGGCTTATGCCGGGTGTCTTCCGCCTCCACAATGCATGGCCTCAGTGCTTGGGGTCCACAGTTGCCCCCACAGGCCCACGTCCCCCACACACATAACCCCCAAATGCCCATGGACGTCTCGAAATTGCCCGGAACTGTCCCAAGGGAGCCAAACTGCCCCAGGTTGACCCTGACATCGCCTCACATGACCCAAGACCCCAAGACTTGTAAGATATTCCTGAAAGACCTGCAGGTGTTCCTGAGATGGCCCCATGATACCACTAGGCTGCCAATCGTGCTTCAATCGCAGGAAGAACCCAAAATACCCCCAAAAAGGGTCCAGATGCGTCTCTAACAGGATGGCTCCCCCCACAACCAATTCATCAAATCGAGCTGACGGCATTGTCCTTCTTGCACTGTTTGACTTCCTGAACAGCGAACACGGTAGGCCTCCTCCAAGATTTATCTTATACCACGTGCGCATAATGTGGAGGCACGTGGGGTGCGAATGCCTTGAGCTTGAAACGTCTTCAACTACAGGTCGTATGGAACATGTCGCTGTTTTCTCTTGCGAAATGCGCTTCTCCTTAAGCCCGAGTGGAAGAAGAACGAGACATTCACGATGAAGACAGAGGAATGATGACAAGGGCAAGGGTGAGGACGGACGGATACGGAGATGTCGGTGGCCGAGAGAAGGAGGGGCGCGAGGATCAAGAATCACTACAAGCTCGGAGGCTTCTGGCAAAAATCAAAGGCTGCGCACTCAGAAGGAACCGCCGCCTCCGTATTCCGGGTTGGACTACAGGGCGGGGTAAGAAAGGATGGGTTAGCGAATCGCCCCACGCAGCTGATTTTCCCAACAACTCCCGGCGCCGGTGGCGCCAACATAACGAGTATAGGGCGTGGCGGCGGGGCCGACACCAGCTGCACGCAGCAGAATTCGTACAACCCCCTGTCCCTACCCCCCATGTCGTCCGACCCGAGTACTGGTCCTGATCCCCGCCAACGGCAACGGGCAAAAAGACACATAAGCATGGCATGGCCCAGCCTACAATATATGAGTGGAGCCACAGTGTTGCCTATATGAGTTCCCACTCGCCACCGTACAACTTTGGGCGCGCCGCTAGGCACATGTATGAAGTTGCACAGAACTTGAATGTTGTCAGATTAGTTCGGCTGGCTCCAAGCGGTTCACATGTGACGTCGAAGTAGTGCGTCCTACGGAATTCCTATCCGAGAGTAACAAAATAACAGCGCAGTGCACATGAACATGAGTGGAACATAGCATAGTACAACGGTGTGAGGAAGATGGAAGTAATATTGCCTATAGTGACGCGGGGCGCAGTAACATACAGCATGACTATATAGCACAGAACAGTAGAGTATAGTCGAGCAAAGCCAGGCAGCGAGGATGACAGTTGAACAATACAGGGCGCAGAGCAGAATGCAGTGAGCGCAGTGGGGTGCAACTGAGGAGAGCATCGTGGAGTGAAGTGCGCGGAGTAAGGTGGAGCTGCGCGCCGCGAAGTAGGAGAAACCGCCTTCTGTGTACGCTTCACATGTGCAAAATTGACATCCCCCCCGCTCTGGAGACGGCCACACGCCGAGAACTTCCACCCCCCCCTCCCCGCTCCCCACCCTTGGGGTTGGACCCCCTGTCCGAAAGTCGGAGGAGAGAGAGGGGGTTTGGAACCCAAACCCCATCGTCGCCTGCAGACGACGACGTCGTCGTCGTCGACGTCGTCGTCGTCGTGGTGGTCGCCGTCGTCGTCGTCGTCGTCGTCGTCGTCGTCGTCGTCGTCGTCGTCGTTGTCCTCGTCGTGGTCGTCGTTGTCGTCGTCTTCGTCGTCGTCGTTATCGTCGTCGTCGTCGTTTGCTGGCACCAGGCGTCGTCGCCGTTGCCGTCGCCAACGCCGTCGCCATCGCCGCCGTCGTCGTTGACATCGTTGTCGACGTCGTCGTAGTGGTCGGCATCGTCGTCGTCGTGGTCGTGGTCATCGTCATCGTTTGCCGGCGCCAGGTGGGGGAGGGGTTCAAACCCTCCCCCCTGACTTCAGGGCTGTGGGGGCCTGAACCCCCCCACCACGACTTTCACTTTGGAGATGAACCCCGCACACCCCTCCACGGACTTTGAGGAAGGTGGGGTCCAGACCCCCCTCTTCTCTCCCCCTGACGAACTAAATAAATGCTCTTTCTGAATTAGGTAAAAAACGGAGCAGAATAGATAATGCAATTTAGCAAGATGTGCTTCAACAGAGCCGTCTAGAGTAGAGAACAGTGGAGTAGATATGTAGAGGGTCAGCAAGGCGAAATAAGGCAAAATCGCTGTTCTCATCATTATCAGCATCCTCGCCGCTCTACTTGGAGCCACCGCTGGTAAAAATGCTCCCCTCTGCTGTGGCCGAACGCCTGCTGGGATGTCCTTTGGCCCCAAGCCCTGCGGGTCAGGGCCAACACGGCGCCTCCTCTGGCTCGTCGGCGAGGCGGTAGGTCGCGTGCGTCTGTATGACGTTGATGGAGGCGGCCTGGCGCTGCGGCTCGCCAAAGTCATCATCTGGGCGCGGAGGGGATCATCTCTCTCTCTCTCTCTCTCTCTTCTCCGTCCTCCCTCACTTCCTCTCTCCCACCTCCTCCTCCTCTTCCTCCTCCTCCTCCTCCTCCTCCTCCTCTTCCTCCTCCTCCTTCGAATCGTTTCGATTCTCCGTTTCGCGTGGCGGCAAAGACCTGTGAAACTCCTCCTGATGCTACCTGCTCGTGGCCATTGCCGCCCCAAGGCCCAGCGACCACTCCTCCTCCTCCTCCTCGCCCTCCTCCTCCTCCTCCTCCTCCTCGTCCTCCTCCTCCTCCTCCTCCGCCTGTCCCTCCTCCTCCTCCTCCTCCTCGCCCTCCTCCTCCTCCCCCTCCTCCTCCTCCTCCTCCTCCTCCTCGTCCTCCTCCTTCTCCGCCTGTCCCTCCTCCCTGCCGGAGCCAGCTCCAACTCCCCTCGCTGCCGCTGTGATAGTACGAGCGGCCGCCCCACGCGTGCGTCTCCATCCCGCCTGTAAGACATGCTGCTCTCGGCGTGGCTCCCTCCCCCCCCCTTCCTTCCTTCCTTCCTTCCTTCCTTCCTTCCTTCCTTCCTTCCTTCCTTCCTTCCTTCCTTCAAGGAGGAGATGAGCAGCAGAAGCAATGAGCGGGAGGAGGAGGAGGAGGAGGAGGAGGAGGAGAGCGAGCGAGCGAGCGAGGAGAGGAGAAGGAGGAGGAGGAGGAGGAGCGGGAGCGAGGAGGAGGAGGGGGAGGGGAGGGAGGCGAGAACGCGGGCGGGATGCGCGGGGCGCCCCGCACCTTCGGGGGCCCATCCCGACGTGCGCGGACAGAGCGCGGCCCTGGGCAGGAGTGGCTTTTCGAGTAGGGTCAGGTCGGGCCTGTCCCCCTACAGGGGGATATTTTGGACCAGAAATAAAAAACACTCAGAGCATACTCAAACGAGGCCCTGGGCAGGAGTGGCTTTTCGAGTAGGGTCAGGTCGGGCCTGTCCCCCTACAGGGGGATATTTTGGACCAGAAATAAAAAACACTCAGAGCATACTCAAACGATGCCCAATCATACTAAAAAACAATGGTCCCCAGACTATGTGTCGACTATGTTTGGAAATTCTCCCTGTCAAGGGACAGGCCCGACTTAAGAGTAGGGGGTCGACTACAACATTGATTCACCCAAATTGGCTTGTTCGTCGAATCCCAAACAAAATCCAGATGTTCGTATACCTACGAATATGATACGAATTCCCGCAGATTCGACGGGCAAATCGATTTTGGGGGCAAATCGACTCTGCAGTCAACCCCCTGCTCGAACCTTGGGTGCGCGGCTTTAGGGAGCCACGGGGGGGGGGGGGTGGGGGGGGGCAAATCCAAGCGTGCAGGCCACTTCTGGGGGAGTGGGCCTGCGGGCCCGCACCAAACTCGCCATCGCTCGGACGTCCATTCCCTCGTGCGTTGTCGATTTCGCGCGTGTCTCTTTCGCGAGGTGATCCCAGATGCTCCTCGATTGCCCTCTCTGAAGAAAAAATGCACACGTCCGAGCGATGCCAAGCAAAGGAGGTCACTGTGGCGAGGGGTCACTCTTACCTGATAGCTGAGCTCCTGTCGAGGCGCGGCGCACGTTTTTGTTTGCTCGCTTGTTTGAGTCCGTTTCGGGGAGACGTAAGACTCGGGTACGGGGGACTCGAGTTGGCCTGAAGGGGCCATCATGAAAATGACGAGACCCAATCTGAAATTTGACGCGAGCTCCCGCTGCACACAACCCACGTTAACTGGAACGTCAAAACCCAGGACGCGCTCGTCGAAACGCGTCGGCAAACCCGAGTGCCGGCGCACTCGAGTCTTACGTTTCCCCGACCGTTGCTGCGAATTCCCCAAACAATGCTTGCACCTACAGTCATCGGCCTGACCTAAGGAACGATAAACAAGGAACGAAGCCTTTTTTCTTATCCCAAGGAATAACGCATGAGGCACGAGACATGACAAACAACGCACAAGGAGCTGTAAACAACGCATGCAAGCCTGAGGAAGGACCGAGCCCCTTTTGAAAAGCAAGTGTTCCTTACTCGGGAGCGGCAAAGAGGGGGGCGTCAAAGAGGGGGGGGTGCAAATCATGACCGGTGGCATGTGCGCGGCCCAGCGAGGGGGCCAGGGACGTAATAAAATAAGAAGAGGCGCCATGAAATCTGGGGAGATATCATGGCCCACGCCATGATATCCACCCCCCCCTAGTCATCACCCCCCTCTTTGCCGCCCCCGACTTACTCAAGCCGCTCACTGTCGGGGCCTGCTCCTCTCACAAAGGGAACTCTGCCGGGGCTCGCCTTTCCAAGCTTCCGCGGTGCGCCGCCCGTGGCCGCCCCCTCGGCCGCCCCAGCGCGCCTGGGCGGGCCCGGCGAGGCTTCGCCCACGCTGCCGCCTCGTGGCCGCCTCGCGGCCGCCTCGTGCGCCGGGTGGGCCTGCGGAGGTTTCGCTGCGGTGCCTAAAACGACGCGAAGATCGGGACAGAATCGGATCGGGAGAACTCGAAATCTCTCCGAGAATCGGCGGGTTTGGAGGATGTCTTGGGCGCCGCGGCCGCTCCAGAGCGTTCCGGAACGCTCTGAGAGCGCTCCGGAACGCTCTGGAGCGATTTATCCCGATCCCAGCCCTGTTTTAGGTTTCGCTACGGTGCCGCCCCTGGCCGCCTCGCGGCCGCCTCGTGTGCTGCACCACACGGCTTGCACCACACAATGGCGGCGCGCACAAGGGGGTGGGGGGAGGGGGCAGGGCTTCTTAGAAGCAGGGGTGCTTCTAGCGAGAGTCGCGAAGGATGGGCCGAAGGGGCAAGGCTGCAAGGCCCTTGGAAAGGTTGCCCATCCTTACTATGCGGGCTGACTGTAACGTGTGCTCGTGTTTCTCCAGTCAGCGGGAGCGGGGCCGCGCCCGGGGGATCGAACAGCTGGTCTCGCCGCAGCGCCGCGCGGGCCTTCACCGGAAGGTGCGCTCCCGCCTTGTCCGCTGCGCACGCTTCCCGCTTGCTGGTTCTACTCGACGCTTGGCCTCGCGCCAGCCGCGAGCGGGACACTGTTTTCGTCTCGAAGCCCAGATTCCCGCCCCCACCCCCAGATGAAGGGGCCCCAGGACACACAAATAAATACACACAAATAAAAATATTCCCCATATTTCCCAATATTTTCTGGGTTTTGGTCGTGCCCCCCCCACTTCCCATATGTTCCCATACTTCCTTAGGATTCGACGATTAATTGTGTCTGTGTTTTTCTTTCCCTCCTGACCAGAAGTGAGTTCCCACGCGGGCACGGCGCACTGTTTTCTCTGCCAAGTCGTCGGGGCCACCACGGCCGCACGCGAGCGCCACCGGTTCGGTGGCCGAGATCGCTCCCCAGTCCAGATCTCCACTTGCACCAGCACTCCCTCTTTTGTTAGGGGGCGACGAGGGTGGGTGGGTGCAGGGCGCGCTGACTCGCTCGAGCTGGCCGGCTTGCCTCCTCCTCCCCCTTCCTCCTCACCCGCCTCCTCCTCCTCCTTCTCCTCCTCCTCCTCCTCCTCCTCGTGCTCGTCACGGGGCTTCTCCTCCTTCCGGTCCAGCGGCCTCCGCCAGAACTCGGACCAGGGCGCGTTGAGACGACGGCAGCTCAGAATCGGCCCCCGAACTCCTCCTGGGCTCCGAACGCACCAATTTTCCCGATCGGCGTCCAGCCGTGACGGCGAGGGGCTCCCCGAAGGCCAACTACCGGTTTCTCAACTCGCCATCCTCTGAAGAATCGGCGGCGAGCGAGGGGGGCAAGTGAGAAGGAGAAGGCCCGCTCAGACGGCGGCGGGACTTCTCGGAAGCCCTCGCGCCTTCTGAGAGGCTTTGCTTCTGCGTCTTCGGGAAGGGCTTCTTGGGCGTGGCTTAATGGGGGGGTCACAAATGGGGGGGTCAGAAAAGGTCCCCTTTCGTGCCCCTCTCGGGCCCCTCCGGAGCCCCAGGGGGCTCGTTTAGGTACCGTTTGGGTACCTTTTCGGACCACGCTCGCCGCCCCCCCATTTATGACCCCCCCATTACGCAACGCCCAATCTTCGAAGACTTCTCAGAAGGCCGGGGACTTCCGAACCTTCTGAGAGGGCCTATCCCTTCCCTGAGACCCGACGCTGCAAAACACGACCGGAGCCCACCTCCCTGCGCAAAAGACGGCGTGGCAACCTCGGACAAAAAAAACGACCGGAGCCCCGGAGCCCATCCGTCTGCGCCCTGGCACGAGGCGGGGGTCGCTCCGTCAGGGCCATGGGGGCCCGAGCCTGGGCGACGACGCCCGTGGCGAGGACATTGCCACGCCAGGGCCTCGGGGTTCTCGCTGCCCCCTCCCCCCCCCCTTCGAGCCAGCCTCGAACCCGTCCGTGTCCCTGGGCTGGGCGAGCAAAACGCGGGGACGGTCCCAGGGATGCGCCCTCAGAAGCCGAGGGGACTCCTCCAGATTGGCATCGGGGTGAGGTGATGCATGATGCCAAGGACAGGGCTCGGGAGGAGGAGGAGGAGGAGGAGGAGGAGGAGGAGGAGGAGGAGGAGGAGGAGGAGAAGGATGAGGAGGAGATCCGTAGTCCCCCCTTTGGCTCAAGGCCGTTGCCTGGGGCCTTCGCCTTCCCTGGGGTTGGGGCTCGAGCTGGTCAGAGACCCGCACGACCCTCGATCAGTGGCCCTGCCCAGGGTGAGGGTCCGCTTTTTACGCACTTCACGTTTCGGCTCTGCTCAAAGTCTCGGGCGCACGTCTTTTCATGGCGTGGGGAGATGACGTTTCGAGTGGACACCAGAAGAGTGCATCGTGTGCGGACCAGCGTGGAAGTAGCAAGCGTGGCGGCTCCAAGGGGCCCAATCGGAAGTGGAAGTGTGAGCACTGCGGCTGCAAGAAGAACGGCTGGAGTACGTGGTACCGCCTTCACTGCCAAGTTGCCTGGAACGTCCCCGCGGAGGCGGAGGCGAATGGGCTCGCGGTGGAGGACGCGGGGGACGGCGAGCCCCGCTCGGTCGGCTTGCAGCCGCCGCCTGGCCTGGGGA